ACCATGACCTCTGCAGTGACACCATGCTGGATGTATGATAAGAAGCTTCCGGAATCGTAATTATTAGGCCCCCAGTGATTGCAACGTCGAAAACCTCTTCATTGGCAGCCGTAACAGAACCCCGAACATCGTCCTTTCGCGTTACAGATAAGATTCGATAAAAAAACCGATGTGTCATTTTCTCCCACAGAAAACAAATTAGCTTATAAATATCGTAATTGAAAGGCTTCTAATAGGCTGAAACATTGAGGCTGATCTAGCTATGTTTAAGCGAAGTTATTTTTGAACACTTGTTCTTACAACATAAATCGTCAATTGTTGCATTTCTTGTTGTGTTTCATTAGTGACTACTACAGTTCAAAAAAATTATCGATTGAATGCACTTCAATCAGTAATTAAATTTTATTAAAAAGTAAAATATTAATTTTTAACTCTTAATTTTTAATTATGATCCTTATCAAAAAAAAAAAAAAAGAAGAAGAAGAAAGCGGCCCAATTGTTTTATACAACAATGATTTGTGAAAAAGAAGGAAGTTTTACAATATATTAAAAAATTAAGTTTGATTATGATTTCACATAACAGTGTTTTGGCTACTCGTAAAAATATATATTATATATACATAAATGGTTAAATATTGGCATTTTCTAAACATACAGAATCTGTAGCAATATTGTGACCCTAACCTTTATTAAAGGGTTTGAGCTACTGTTGTGACATTGTTACAATTACTCTCTTTCCTCTCAACACATATCATCTATTTATTTATAATTTAAATTTAAAATTTTTATTTTCATTATAAAAAATTATTATTAAATTATTTAAATTATTAAAATATATATTATTTATTGAAATATTTAGCCTACAATAACAGAATAATTTATGATCAAAAAATATTTTTTTACATCCTAAAACTAATTATTTCGTTGATAATTTTAAAGATGCACTTTTCATATTAGTTAAGTGTATTAAAAAAATAATTTATTTAAAAATTAATCCTAAAACTTTAATTCTAATTTTTAAGTTACACTTAGTTACGCCGATAACTTAAATAATTTAGTGGTTATCTCTTTTTGTTAGAAATAAGATATTCTAAATTTGAGTCGCATGATATGTGGGTGAGGTAGAATAAAAAATGAGATATGGTTGTCTTCCATTATGTAATTAAGATTTAAAAAAAAAAAGTCACACTTAGTTATAAATTCATCCAATTCTTCATATAAAAAATGAGATATGGTTGTCTTCCATTATGTAATTAAAAAAAAAAAAAAAAGTCACACTTAGTTATAAATTCATCCAATTCTTCATATTTAAAAATGCTCTTTATTCAATGTCTAGTGTTGGGCTAAAAAAACAATTAATTCATTTATAATAGTTAGCGCCATATACATAAAGAAAAAAAAAAAACACATTACCGATAATTATAAGTGCATTTGAAATTGTTGTAAAGTGTTATAATTATAGTTGTGGTTGTGATTGTATTGAATAATATTGTACTGTAACTGTATTTAAAAATTATTTTGG